GGGAGGGAGGGAGGGCTGGAGGGAGGGCTGGAGGGAGGAAGGAAGGGAAGGAGATAGGACTGGAGGGAGGAAGGGAGGGAGGGAGGGAGATAGGGAAGGAGGGAAGGAAGAATAGGAGGTATATGAAAAAGGAAATGGAGGAGGAAGAGAGAGGGACAGAGGAGAGAGAGAGAGGCGGTGGGAGGGGATGAGGATATGAGAGAGAGAGAGAGAGAGACGGCGGTAAAAAATAACGAGGTAACAATAAAAATAATAATCCCTGATCATAATTTAAGGGCCGAGAGCACACATCCTGTACGCGCGCCCTCCCTCGGCCGGAACAATTAATGCGACCCCCTTATAATGACACATCCGATTGAGTACTCGCTATCCCCCTTCCCCCCCTCCACCCTCCCCTCCCCTCCCATCTTGTCTTACTAGGACTCCCTTCCTCCCTCCTCTCTAGGTTCCCCTTGACTCTGCCCCCCTCCTACCCCTCCCTCTCATGGTCTGGGTCTTTCCTTCCTCCCTCCCTCCCTCCCTCCTCCCTCCTCCTCTCTCCCTCCCTCCCTCCTCCCCCCTCCTCTCTCCCTTCCTCCTTCATTCCTTCCCTCCCTCCCTCCCTCCCTTCCTCCCTCCCTCCTCCCTCCTCCTCTCTCCCTCCCTCCCTCCCTCTACCCCCCTCCCCCCTCCTCTCTCCCTTCCTCCTTCATTCCTTCCTTCCCTCCCTCCCTCCCTCCTGCGGTTTCGTTCATAACAACTATGCGGCGACGAGTGTGATGGGGGAGGAGCCATTTGAGAAAGCTTTGCAGGAAAAAATATAAAATAAATTTTCGAAAACGTTTCCCTAGATTGCCAAGAGAACAACTGTATAGTTTTAATATTTCTATGATTTTTTGTAGTGATAACAACAATAATTATAACAATCATAATGTTGATAATGATAACAGTAATGATACAGATAGTAATAATGATATCATAATAATGATAATGATATTGCTAATAATAACAATAGTAATGATATTGATAATAATAATAATAATGATATTGATAATGATAATAATAATAATAATAATGATATTAATAATAATGATATTAATAATAATGATATTAATAATAATGATATTGAAAATTACAATAATATTAATGATACTGATAATAACAATAATAATTATCTTGATAATAATGATAATAATAATCATAGTAATGATAGTCACAACAGAGAACAGCAACAACAATAATAGTAATAATACCCATAACAATAGCACAAAAAATACAAAACAGGACAGTCTTCCCCGCCACTGGTACGGCTACAGAAATAGATTGAAGAAAAGGAAGAGGGGGGGGAAGGGGGGAGGGTGACTCCTAACCGTCCGTTGGGCAGGTGTTGGAGGGTCACACCTGCTTGTTCTGAGGTCTTCGCCACGCCCTCTACCTGTTCCTCTTGGCTCGAGCGTTGGCTTGGAACAACGGGTTGGCGCCATTCTGGATTCGGCGTCCTGTTGGCGATGCGAGTTTTTTTAAGGCTGTTGTACTTATGGTGAACGTTTTCTTTTCTTTTCTTTCTTTCTTTCTTTCTTTTCTTTCTATCTTTCTTTCTTTCCGTCTTTCTTTCTCTCTCTCTCTCTCTCTCTCTCTCTCTCTCTCTCTCTCTCTCTCTCTCTCTCTCTCTCTCTCTCTCTCTCTCTCTCTCTCTTATCTCCCTCCTCCCTCTCCCTTCTTCTATCTCTCCCTCCTCCCTCTTTCTCCTCCTCTCTCATCCTCCATCTCCCTCTTCCTTCTCCCTCTCCCTCTCCCTCCTCCTCCCTCTTGCTCCATCTCCCTCTTCCTCCTCCCTCTCCCTCCTTCTGTTCTCTCTCTCTCTCCATCCCTCACGTATCTGCAGTCTCCACCTGACGTCCCAGATCCGTTCGGAAGCGCGGAAGAGGGCGGGCGGGCGTGCGGGCGTGCGGGCGGGACGGTGGGCGCTGGGCGAGGCCGGACGGGATGTGGCTCGCCCGCGCACTTCGCCCCCCCCTCCCCCCACTCTGCTTGCGAATTTGCTCTGCTTGGGCCTGCTTGAAAGGGGGGGGGGAGAGGAATATCGGTGCCTCTTATTAATTTTGGGGGGAATGTGTGGCTGTGTTGATGTATGTGTGTGTGTGTGTGTGTGTGTGTGTGTGTGTGTGTGTGTGTGTGTGTGTGTGTGTGTGTGTGTGTGTGTGTGTGTGTGTGTGTGTGTGTGTGTGTGTGTGTGTGTGTGTGTGTGTGTGTGTGTGTGTGTGCGTGCGTATGTGTTTGTATGATGAGGGAAGGAGGAAGGGTAAAGAGG